GGACCCGCCCCCACCTCCACTCCTGCCCCACCGCCCTGACTGCTGCCCCACTGCCCTGACTGCTGCCCCGCCCCCAGATGTACTTCAACTCCGTCATCTCCGACACGACCAAGCTGCTCAAGCCCAGCCTGGTGTTCGCTTTCGCCATCGCAGCGGGTGTCTGCGGTCTCACCCAGATCACACAGTATCGAAGCCACCCCGTGGACGTGTATGCGGGCTTCCTCATCGGTGCTGGCATCGCCGCCTACCTGGTGAGAGTCTGACCAGGGAGGCTGGCAGCCATTGGGCAGGTCTGAGAGGGGAGGTCTGAAGGAGCAGGCTAGCCCCCAAAGGGGAGGTCAGAGGAGGGGAGGACAGGTGCCAAGGCCTAGCCCTGTTCTGGGGAGACTGATAAGACCTTTGCCTCCCTCCAAAACCCCCAAGTCTTTGCCCTGTGGGGACCCTGACATGGCCTCACAGCCATCCTGAATCTCACCCCCAGGCCTGCCATGCAGTTGGCAACTTCCAGGCCCCACCCACAGAGAAGCCCACAGCCCCAACACCTGCCAAAGACGCACTGCGGGTGCTGACCCAGCGGGGCCACGACTCGGTGTACCAGCAGAACAAGTCTGTGAGCACTGACGAGTTGGGCCCTCCAGGGCGGCTGGAGAGTGTGCCTGGGCCCGTGGCCCGAGAGAAGACCTCACTGGGCAGCCTGAAGCGGGCCAGCGTGGACGTGGACCTGCTGGCCCCACGCAGCCCCATGGGCAAGGAGAACATGGTGACTTTCAGCCACACACTGCCCCGCGTCAGCACGCCCTCACTTGATGACCCTGCCCGCCGCCACATGACCATCCATGTGCCACTTGACGCCTCGCGCTCTAAACAGCTCATTAGCGAGTGGAAACAGAAGTCGCTGGAAGGCCGTGGCCTGGGGCTGCCTGATGAGGCCAGCCTGGGGCATATGCTGGTGCCCGCAGAGCCCATGGCAGAGGAGGAAGAGGAGGAGGAGGAGGAGGAGGAGGAGGGAGAGGAAGAGGGGCCAGCTCCACCCTCACTCTACCCCACAGTCCAGGCGAGGCCAGGCCTCGGGCCTCGGGTCATTCTCCCACCGAGGGCCGGGCCACAGCCACTGGTACACATCCCCGAGGAGGGGGCGCAGGCAGCAGCAGGCCTGTCACCTAAGGGCAGCGTGGCTGTGCGGGCCAAGTGGCTCATGATGGCTGAGAAGAGCGGGGCCCCAGTGGCCACAGCCTCGACCCAGCCCCGCATGGCCAACCCGCCCCGACTGCTGCAGGTGATTGCTATGTCCAAGGCACCTGGTGGACCTGGCCCCAAGGCGGCTGAGACAGCCTTGTCCTCCAGCTCCAGCTCCGACTCCTCACAGTACAGGTCGCCATCAGACCGTGACTCAGCAAGCATTGTCACCATTGACGCACACGCGCCTCACCACCCCGTGGTCCACCTGTCTGCTGGTAATGGGCCCTGGGAGTGGAAGGCTGCTGGCAGTGGGGCCAAGGGGCCAGAGGGCGAGGGCACTTATGAGCTAGGGGACCTAGCTCATGGCTTTCGGGGTGGGCCCAAGCCACTGGGTGTATCTCCTGGCTCATCTGTCAGTGATGTGGACCAGGAGGAGCCAAGGTTTGGTGGTGTGGCCACAGTCAACCTGGCCACAGGGGAGGGGCTGCCCCCACTGGGCGCGGCCGACAGTACTCTCGGGCCAGCCAGCCGGGAATCAACGCTGAGGCGCAAAGCAGTTGGCCTGGCACTGGGTGAGCGAGATCCCGCCTCTTGTGAGTCAGAGGCTGAAAGCTACTACCATAAGATGCAGGCAACCCGCAGGTTCAAGGACTGAGCGCCCAGGGGCCTGGCAGGCTGGGGTGAGGGTGGGGGTGGGGGTGCAACAGCATGGGGGGTCTGGGGAAAGAGGGAAGTGGAGGCATTTTGCAATCAGACAATAAAAGGTTGAATTGGAGTCCTGGCTGCAGTCATCCTGGTCTGAGCTTCCCCTGGCCATGCACACAGGCCCCAGGGTCCTGGGCTGGCTGTAGGCTCTCAGGGGCCATGTGACCAGGGCCCCGAGCACAAAGGACAGGGCACTAGGAGCAAGGCATTGAGTTCTGTCCAATGCCCAAAGACTGCAGCAAGGTTCTAACTGGAACATGGAAAAGGTTTTGGTGTGGTTTGCAGCATCTGGGGAGTTGCCCCTTTTCAGATTCATGCTTACTTCCCAGGGAAGGCCACCCGCACTGGGACAGGACAGGTGGGACTCCCAAGCAGGGCTCACTGGCCCATAAAACTTCCCCCTGAAATCCTAACGTCATTAGGGGGGCAAACAAATGTCTGAATTCACAAAGAAAACAGCAGTGAAGACAAGCAAGCCCAATAAAGAAGGAAATGAGTGCAGGATACAGAAGAGTTTATTCAAAGTCCAGTACAGACTAGCCAAACTGCCTTCTACAATGTGAACAGAAAGCCTGCGGAAAAGGCAAGAGTTGTTATAAAATTGCTTTAATTCAGTTTTCTCAACATTACAAGCCGTAAGGCAGGCAGTGGAATGTGCCACGCTCCACGTTACAATACTGAGCCTGTAATTGCTGGTATCAAAATATACATCTGTGTCACCATAAAAAACTGCATTTGCTGCCCCTCATGTCTTACAACAGGTATAAAAAAATTATAAATATTTAATCCCTCGTCCCCACCCCAACATGAACACTTGGGGTCCAGGCCCCAGGAAGAGGGGCCAGCCAGCACAAGGGTCTGTGCACAGGGAAGCCCCTTGGACCCATGAGTGTAGGACTATACAAGGTAAAGGAGACAGTTAAGACTCGAGGGCTATTGTCCCACCTTAATGGGTCCCAGCGTTAGAGGCAGACAAAAAAAAACAAAAAACTTTGGTCCATGATTTGCAGGAAAAAAGAAACCCTGAAAGTTTAAGAGAGCCCTTGTCCTCCCAGACAGAGGACAGGCTATGTGTAAGGCATCTGAAGGTCTCAGGCCTGGGGCTTTCTAGGAAGAACCCAGGCTCCGCAGTGGCCCACCACTGCGTCTGCCCTGGAAACTAGATCCTGCCCTGCAACTTAATTACAAGGAATAAAATAAAAAGTACAGTATACAAGGTCATATAAGGAAGAAATTTAGATTACACTCATACCATTTTTATCATCTTGCTATATAAAAGGTTACTTAAAACTATTTCTTTTGCATATAAATGAAGATTAGAATATTTGGTCAACTGGAAATATTGCTAGGCACAGATGTCTGCAACTGCAAAAAAGCACAATACAAAGACTTATGATAAAACAAAGCTCCAAGCTGAAGAAGTGCCAGGGATGCACCCTAGAGGGTCTTGGCCCAGGAGGGGCACCTCAAGCCAGGGGCAGGGTGAGGGGAGAATCAAGACACTTGATTAAATGGACGATTAGGATGTCCGCAGACCCTGCAGCTGGCAGCCTCCTGCCATGCCAGGCACATGATCCCCATGGGGAAGCAGTCCCCTCTGTCCCCAAACCCCTATGCATTTGCTACTGCAAAAAAAGGCCCTGCCAAAGCAGTGGGTTTTAAGGCACAAGAAAGCTGAGTGGAGGCTTGGGAACACCCACCCTGCAGAAGGGGTAGGCACATCGTCCACGGGTCACCAAGAGCCTGAGGCCGGCACCCTATCTCCCAAAGGTGAGCAAGGTGAATTAGATTTAATTTTTTTAAAAACAGGTAAACTGATTTTCTCTTTAAAAAAATAAAATCTCTGGTCTTTTTAAGGTCACTTCAGCTGCTTTTTAAAGTGGCTATTTTCTGGAATGATGGAAGTTGTTGCCGGGACTACCCGGCAGGCTGGTCCTTGGTGGGGAGTCTAGATAGTGGACTTGGAAAAGGACACCCGCAGGTGGTGGTTCTCTCCCAGGTCGTGGTTGTGCAGGTCGATGAGTGCCTGGATGGCCTCCTCCACTGAACCCATCTGAATCAGCGCCATCTTGCGATCCTTCCTGCAGGACAAGGGGTATAGAGACAGCATGAGGTGGAGGGGGGAGGACAGAGAGGGGGGAGGGAGGGCAGGTGGGGAGAGGGTTTCATGCTCACTGGAAGAACTTGAACCCTTTGACAATTCCGCCATTGCTGGAGAAGAGTATCTTGAGATCGTCCTCAGATATGGAGGGCCTGTAGGGAGAGGGAAGACCTGAGCAGACCATCTGGCTACTCGCTTGAGGACAGTAATTCTGAGGTGAGGGAGGGGCCTGTTCACTGTTTTAGGCACCCATAGATAGATATTGCAGAACGACCATATCTTAAAGGTCTATCAAGAGTCACAAAAAACACTCCACTTGGCTTCAAAAAATGACACCAAACAGGTTTGCAAAAAATGCCACCCCCTCCCCTTCCTTGTTTGTTCTGGGAGTGTTTCAGGAAGGACAGAGGCAGCTTACAGCAGGACAACCTGTCAAAAGCCTGGTGGTTCAGGGAGGCCCGCCTCCCCCATTGCTCCCCACCATGTGCCACCTACGGGATGTTGGAAAGGTGCAGGGTGGCCGAGGGTGGGAAGATGTTCTGGAAGTTCTTAGAGCCAGGCTTCTTGAAGCGGTGCAGGGGCGAGTTCCCGTAGTCTTTGGTGAGGCCCTGGTCCTCCTGGCCCTCACGGGGCAGCTGTACGTTTTGGTGCTTGGAGAGGGTGATGCGCACAGGCTTTCCATGCAGCTTATGTCCGTTAAGGTGGCTCATGGCTGGAAAGGTAGGACCCATATGACCTAAAGGCCCCAGGCACAGGTCTGGTTCCTCACCCCATCTCCAGCCATCCCCACTTACCCAACTGGGCCTGGCTCCCATCTGCCATCTGTACCAAGGCATTCTCCTTCTTATTGAACAAAATCTTCACCCGTTGCACATCGCCATACACGCCTTCAAAAGTGTGGGGACAGAGCTCTGAGCCTAGGATCTGATGCCGCCTCCCACACCAGCCCCCATGACCCGCACACCCTCACAGGACTGGCTCTTCCTGAAGGTTTGCTATTCTGCCTCTGGGAACCTGCGTCTAGTCACAGGGACGTTAACAGGAGGACTCCCTTCAGCAAAGACGTCATAAAATCCAGGAAAGGTCAATTGCCAAAGAGCCATCACTTTACATGCTACCAACACGCTTAACTCTGCGAGAGCATGCAGGGCAATAAACCATGCGTGTCTAAAAAAATCCAAATAAATACACAAACCGAAGGCAAACCAAGTAACGAGGCAGAACTGCAAACTCATAGTACATCTTAGGGCATAAAAATAACCTCAATTAAATGAAAACAAGATAATAAAAGTGTGAATGATAACATACCGAAAAGAATAAAGAGGCTTTGGGGTGTGACTCTCTTTAGAGGACAGCAGAGCAAGGCAGCGGAGGGACAGGGAAAGGGAGAGGTCAGGGGGCGAGTTGCCATCGTCCACCACGAGGAGGCAGCCCCGCAGGCGTGCAGGTTGATGGATGATGAAGTTGTCAGGATGTTAATATTCAAGGGCAGGTTGGTTTCCGGAGAGCAGGGTTTGAGGGGGAATTTTGTTTTTATTTATTTATGGTTTTGTTTTGTTTCAAGCAACAACAGGAAGCAGAAGTACCGTGCAGTCAGTTGGCAAAGAAATTCCGGATCAGAAAAAAAATTGGGAAAGGGGAAGGGGAGAAAAGAAAAAAAGTAGCAAAAAACACAGGTCAGTAAATACATAAGAAAATCCGCAGTGTTCCATCAGTCAGATCTACACACATTCCTAGTCACAGGTCCACCTCGTGGAGCAGGCAGGAAAGCCCCTGTCCGCACAGTGAGCAGGAGACGCTGCTGCCCCTCAGCCTTGCCCTGCTCCTGCCAAGCCCCTTGCTGGGCTCAGCTCCCCCGGAACTGTCTCCTGCTGACTGCTGCGGGGAAAGTGTAAACGCTCACACAAGCACGAGGGGTGGAGTCTGTTAGTGAGGCTTCTAGAGCATCTAATAACTCAGTCAGACAAGGCACCGGCCGCCCCAGGCCAAGAGATGATAGGAGTGGTCAGACAGACGAGAAAACAGTCTGAAACGCTAATTGAACATTAATCCCATCTCTCTAGAGTTAAATATTTTGAGCCTTGATCTCACCCATGCTCTCTGAGCCAAACTTGGCCCTGAGACAAGTGTAGGTTGGCTATAGTAGGACTATGACTCAGAGTTGTGGGGGCAGCGCAGACCATGGCCCTCCTGAGCAGAGGTGCCCAGAGGCCTCCTCAAACAGAGGTGTTTTTAGCTCGAAATTTTATGATTGCTTTCATGAAAGTATCAAAAAATATTTTAACTCTAAACACTATGAAATTGGAAATGTAAACTAGGATGTTCAGGGACAGAGCTTCCAGCACAGTGGGAAGGGAGGGGAGGATGCGAGCACAGAGTGGAACTGCATAAGGACTGGCCTGTGGATTACAGGAGCGTGGCCTGCTGATAGTTTGCACTAAGACCTAGATGCACAACTCCCCTGCCTGAGCCTCCAGAAAAAAACAGCCTGAAAGAGCCACCTACCTCAGGGTTGAGGTTGCTGACCAGCAGAACAGAATTTCCAGCCCCTCCTAGGCCTGGGATGGCGATCCGGCCAGCTGCCGCCGCCGCCGCTGCCGCTGATGGGATGGCCAGAGGGGCCAGGGCCCCGTGCACATTGGGAACAGAGAGGCCTGAGGAAGAGGCAGGAAGGAAATGAGCAGTACAGCCTGCTTTCCACCAAAAGGGGAGCGAAGTCCTGCCCATCCTCATGCAAAAGGAGACACACAGGAGGTGTCTGCACTCGGCCTATCCTGGCCATATGGCCCGCTGGCTCCTTCATCCTCCTCACAGCAGATTGTACTGGGTTTGGACCAGGCTACATGCGCCCATACAGCACAAAAGCTCCAGCTCCATGAATGCAGAATCGAGCCTCGGCCTTGTGTGCATGCAGGTACCCATCACCATGCAGATGGCACACTGGGCAGGACACAGCAGGCTCATGACTGTCACATGGTAGTCGTTACATTGTGGGGCGCCCAGCCCCCAGGAGGGACGCTCAGGTGTGCCCGCCCAGCTCATGCTGATCTTACCAGGACACTTAATTCACCTACTAGGGACACAGCCCTCCAACCACTGTGTGTACACGTCCTTGCCCGGGAGGTGCTTGAAGGAATCAGACCAGAGACTGTGGGGTTAGAGTATTCTCTGCGTGGCCCTGTCCTACGACTACCCTGTCCAGGCTCCTCAGGGAACCCAGAAAGAAGCCCGCGCCCAGGAAGATGGGCTCCCCCCGTGACTGCGCCCGTCAGCTCGCATGTCGGCAGAGCTACTGAAAGGTGTGTGGGCATGCACAGTCAGTTATGGGGACCAAGACCAAGTGTTTGAGTACCTGCAGCTTGAGGAATGGCAAAGGTGGGAGGGAAACCAGCTCCTGCATACGGAGAGGCTGACATTATACCAGGTGCACCTAGAAACAAATGAGACACTAATCATTGCACCCACAACCTCCGCCACCAGAGCCGAGTGAGCCAAGCCGGCGCACCCCACACCCAGCAGGCAGGTCCAATGTCCACCCAAGCTGGGTGCTATGGCCATGGAAGGAGTGATGGGCGCCAACCTCCCTGGGCGCAGGGCGGGCATCCTGGGACTCCTGGGGCCTGGTCACTTAAGACTGAGCTGCGCGTCCTTGACTATGGCACACGGCAGTAGCAGGCACCTTCCCAGGAATCTTACCAAAGGCTGCAGCCATGGTCTGGTCCAGTGAGGGTTGGCTGTCACCAGAGGGCAGGTCAGGACGGGTGTAGTCTCGGCTCTTGTCATTGTTGTACTTGACGTTGAGGCTGGTGAGCTTAGAAAAGTCGATGCGGAGTGTACAGCAAGCGTTGTAGATGTTCTGCCCATCCAGCGACTGCGGGGGAGGAGGGGAAAGCTGTGAGTGGCTGGGGCCCTGGGGCTGAAGAAGGCAGGCAGGCGTCCCTGGGTACCCACTCACCAGCTTAGCATGCTGGGCGCTCACGGGTTCGGCATACTGCAGCAGTGCCTGGAACTGGTTGTTCTTGGTGAAAGTGATAATCTTCAGAACTGTGCCAAACTTGGAGAAGATCTGTCAGAAAAGGAAGAACAGTCAACCTCTGCCCAGGGTCTGGGTGGAAAATGGGGGCACATGGACTCCACCTCACCTGGTGAAGCACGTCCAAGGTGACTGGGTAGAAGAGGTTTTCCACGATGATCCTGAGCACTGGACTCTGGCCAGCCATCGCCATCCCAGCATCCACGGCAGCAGCTGAGGCAGCCGGTGACAGGTTCCCCGTATGAACTGAGTTCACTGCCTGCAAGGCCGCCTGGGCCCGCTGTTGGGGGGACAGCATGAGTCCCACTGCCCCCAGGCTCACACCAAGAGCCCTGTCCCACCCCAGACCTGGGAGGGGATGAGGGGAGGACGCACTGCCTGGTTGGGTGAGCTGTCGGTCTTAAGTTCCTTATGGTTGGAGAACTGGATGTAGATGGGCTGGCCACGAAGCACAGGTGTCACCGAGGTGTAGTAGTTCACCATAGTGTTGGCTGCCTCCTCTGTGTTCATCTCAATGAAGGCCTGGTGGGGGTGGGGGCGTAAGCCAGACCCAGACCCCTGGAAGAAGCCTGGCACCACACTCCTAAAGCAGGCCCAGGGCCTTTCCTGGGATGTGCTCACATACCTGGTTTTTCCCTTTCAGCATCAAGAGGTTGGTGACCTTCCCAAAAGGCAGTCCCAGGGAAATGACCTCGCCCTCGGTGACATCACTGGGAAGCTTCCGGATATGGATCACTCTGGAGGGCACACCTGTACTTCTGTTGTCACCTTTGAACTTTTTGCTGTCATTTCCGTTTGCTGAGAAGAAAGGTGGTACGTCTAACACGGAGCACCTCCTAGGCTCTCACACAGCAATATTCCCCCACCTCCTCAGAATCAGTTTCCTCCCTGACAGGATTCAAGCAGAGTCATCTCCACAGCTGGTGCACCCCTCACACACACAGCTCCCAGTAAGTGCCCATGTATGAACCAGGGCTCAAGGTCACAGCCCAAATCATTTCACCCCAGTGTTCTCGGAGCAGAGCCTACTTGGGCAGAGAGGGCGCCCCCACGGCAGGGACGAAGGGCTATGGTCAGCAGTTACCTGCAGAGGCTGAGTTGCTGCTCATGATAAAGGGTCCGTTAGTGACACAGGCAGAGAAGAGCTCGTCCGATCCCCGCTGGAAGAGAGGGCGTGCTGAAGTGGGGCTGGAGGTGGCCTGGCACATGGCTGCAGACACCATCCTCCCAGAATACCTTGCTGCTCAGCTGTGAAGACACTGCCCTGAACTGTGTCTGTCCCACCTCAAGATGGCCTCACAGTCCCAGATGTGGCTGCTTTTCGGGGGGGTGGGGGGGCTGACAAGGGATTAAAATGTCACTCCCATCTCCAGGTTCTGGGGAACCCTTACAGGGTCTGTGGACAGGCCTCAGGTCAGGTGCCTCAAGGGCAGGCCTAGCCGGCCACCTTGAGACTGTTAGACTGTCTTTAGTTATTACAAAGCTACTTGCAAACTTGAGAACAAAGGCCCCTTGTCACACTGCAGCTATTCCCTTGGTCTCCGGAGCTCGGCCTATTTTCCAGCTGTGTGAGGACACCTGAGCCGCAGCCTCATCACTCGCTGACTAGAAACACTACCTCTCTGTGAGCCAGCAACACTATCTAGTGACAGAAAACAGGGTCTGAGGGCAGCTCTAGAACTGCTCATCTGTAGGCGGGTTCCTATGACTTCTGACCTGCCTGTTTTCTTTCCAGAAACAACCTATTTACTCCCGAGTCTCAATCTAATTAAATCAACTCCCCGATCACGTTAGTCTGACTCTGGGCTTAGAAAGCAGGCAGACAGGCATCCCTCCGGTGGACCGGGGCCCAAGGACAGGACTACTTTTACTCAGGGGGTGAGCTGTATGAGGCTGCAGTGCAGTCATGCAAGTGGAGACTCAGGATGCAGCCCCCACCCAGGACAGACTCCGCTAGGAACAAGAGCATGAGCACCAGGAACTTGCAGGCTCTAGGACCTGTTGGGTGTTGGGGCAGAGCTGTGACAGGACTCCATCAACATGAACTAGGACCAAGGTTGGAAATCAGGGGAGGGTGTCTCCCCCACCCCCACTTCAGTGCCCCCTCAGGCCTGTAGCAGGAACAGGAAAGACCAGCTCAACTGGGCCTTGGCTCTCAGGGTTACGAGCCTCGCCCCTTCTCCCTCAAACTGCCTTTTTCTCAAGGACACCTTATCTTTGCCCTTCCTCCAAACTGCCAACTTAGCTGTTACTCAAACAAGCACAACCATCACCCAGGGCTGCCATCTACCCCAGGCAGAGCTGGGGTGCTCTAAAGCCCTCAGAATCCCCCCTGCCACAGGCAGGTGTCAGTACCTACTGAAGGGAGACGAGGTTTACAAACTGCTCTTCAAGAAGAGGATCAGGAATGGCCACATCACCACTGGTCCCTGCTATGTGGGCATATCCCCACATCCCAGACCCCCGGCTAGGCAAGCACCCAGAAGCCTCCCACCCCTAGTGCCCCACAGCCCAAGGCTGTGAGGGCTGCTCAAACCCCAGTGGTGCTTAGAGCCAAGGAACAGAAAGTTAAAATTGCTGGTCTCTGAGGACTGGGGTCTAATATAAAATGAAACATTCTGGGCGTGTCATGACTGAGCTTTTCCTGAGTCGACACCCAGGCCTCAGTGGGGACAAAGCCACCAGGCAGAGTGCACCTCAGCCCCAGAACCTCCTGGTGACACCAAGGGCAGGTGAGTCTCACCTGTGCAAGCCTCAAGAAGGTTCCTGCCTCTGGACTGGGAGTTCTGACCCATATCCCTGCCCCCTTTAGGCTCACAAAGGTGACTCCCCCAAAGCTGGACTAGAGCCAGGCACTATGTGGCTCCCACGTGCTGACTGCACAACCTTAAAAAGGGCATCTTAACTGCTGTCTCTGACCAGTGCCAGGTGGGCCATCATTTGAGTGGCAACACTCCTGACTCTCATGTTCCCATGGCAGATGGCCTGGTGCTCCCACATTTGTGGGCAAATTGTGACCACTTGTCCGTCCACATTCCCCTAGGCCCCCCTTCCCCAGGACACAGGTCGGGTCTGCTAAACGGCAACTCCCCCATCCCCAGAGCACAGGGACACTGAGACCACGACCAGGGCATTTGGGGAGACCCTATGGTACCTTACCCAAAGTCAATTAAGCATCTATTGGAAAAGCCCCCAAGCTGTGTGCTTCCTGCTGGGAACAAGGCACACCTGCTCCCAACAGTATGTTAAGGGGAACCTTTGCTTTTTAATCAGTAGCTAATCATTGTTAATCTCTGGACACTTCTAACTTATGGCACAGCTTGTTCTAAAGCTGGGGTGATGGTCAGTGGTGCTCAGAACCCAACCGTGCTGCCCTCCTGAGGGCAAGTAGCCCCCCAACCCACCCACTAGAACCTCGAGTTTGTCCTGCACAGGTCTGATTCTGAAAGCAGCGGTCGCCTGGGACTGGCCAGGAAGGACCACTCTACGGACAACCCCAGACAGAGCTGCTCCAGCTGGAAATAGGCAAAGCCAGGAGGATTACAGGAAGCCAGACATTTTCTGTGATGGTTACAAATGCTTCAGATGAAAGTCCCTCTCCCCTCCTCCTACCACTGAACAAACAGGTTTTATCTGCAGGAAGATCAGGATAGGCAGCCTGTGAAGACTCCACCTGGAAAAACCCAAACCCACCCCAGCAGTATGGCTCACTGACCAACCCACCTGCAGTGGACTCCCCAGCCCCCAATTCCTGCCAGCACACGGTACCAAATCTGTAGAAGTATTCAGTTGGCACCAGGCATCCCTGAATGCCACTTACTTCAGGGTACACAGGCTTGGTCCTCACCTGAGGGGAGAACTGAGAACCATCATGGCCCCACTTCCTGTGGAGACAGCCACTGCCAGCTCTGTCCTTTCTACAGCTTAAATGTCCCAAGTACCAAGGATGGCATATAAAGGGGACACACCTTCATTTTCTTTCATCTCAAAAGAAGCAATCAGATGTGCAGACCAAAAAGTACCCAAATCACAATGCCATCAAAAGTAGCACCTCTGGCCCTAGCCGGTTTGGCTCAGTGGATAGTGTTGGCCTGCGGACTAAAGGGTCCCAGGTTTGATTCCAGTCAAGGGCACACACCCAGGTTGTGGGCTCAAACCCAGTGGGGGGTATGCAGGAGGCAGCCGATCAATGATTCTCGTCACTGATGTTTCTTTATCTCTCTCTCCCATCCTCTTTAAAATCAAGAAAAATATATTTAAAAGTAAAAAGAAGAGTAGCACCTCTGTACCCTCCTATCCCACCAGCCACCTCATAAACTACTTGGGGCACAACCAAGTTTCAACTTTTTCTGCACCAAACCAACGGTACTTAGAACACTTGGCAAATATCCTCAGTCCCAATCACAGGACTCTCGCCTGAGCAGGGAGGAGGGGTCCCAAATTAGGGCCAAAGGTGCATTTACCACCGAGAGGCCACTGAACCCACACTGTTGGAAGCAGTGCCTGGAATTAGCTGGATGCAGGCAGGGCAAAGGAAAGGTGTCTGAGAGCCCAACCTGCAAACTGTCTGCCCTACACACGCTGTAGACCATGGGAGCGCTGCTGTCAGAAGAAGCCCCAGTGCTCAGCAGCAGAGGGAAGGGGCCTACAAGGGCAGCACCAGATCAGAGGCCATGCCAGCAGCAGGGTAGCAGAGTCAGCAATGCCTACCTTTGTACCAACTGCTATGTCTGGGACAATGCTGTAGAGAGAGAGAAAAAAAAGAATGTTAGCAGGTGTACTACAGCAGCTACTGCCAGGACTTTCAGGATAGGCCGGCCAGCGAAGGGCTTCTCTGGCTGCAGCCCCCCCAATGAGGTCCTCAGATAACTAGTAAGCTTAGGGCAGGGAAGTGAGCTGCCGTGCCTTTAATCTCAACTTGAAAAAGGAGCCATCATTGTGCTCTAGCTCCCCTCCCTCCCAGCAGGCCCCCAGACAAAACACCCCCTCCAAAAGCCCCAGGAGGGACACTTGATGCTTGTTGTTAAAAGCTGAAGTGCTGTTGTTTGCTTTCTAAAAACTGGAAATGCTTGGAGAATGTTTCAAGCAGGGAAGACTAGTGAGAAGGTAGCTCACAAGGCCTTGGAGGTCACAGCTCCAGGGGGATGAGAAAGGGACTCAACAAGGGAACTGTTCAAAGAATGGCATCCTCCAGAGGAAGGAGGCAGCAAAGATGAAATAATCAGATAAAATTAACACCAGTTACTCATCAACCTGGCTCCGTGTGACTGGACTTTCTCCCTGCTCCAGGCCCAGCTAGGGAAGGTGAGAAGAAACCATGGCTGCTGAGGTTCCTGCAGTGCTCAACTGCACACCAGCTCTCAGTACTAACATAAAACTCTCCTAGGCTTCTAAATGTAAACTCACAAGGTCCTTAATGACTCAAGGAGAAGAACTTCGTCAGCAACACCCCCCCACACACACACCAGGTCACCTGGCTTAGTGGCCTGTGACCAGAGCCTCCCATGATGTCACACAAAGATGTCCCCCTCACCAGCCAGGGAAAGGCTGGTCTCAGAATGGGCAGAAGATCCAACACCCGCTACCCCCAGAACAGCACGACCCCAAGCGCTACACCCTAGTCCTGCCATCCGCTGCACATCTCACCGGCTACTGCCTCTACTGTAGGGCTTCACCTCTTCAGTATAAAAAACATCATGGGCTAGTGTCCACAGGGTTTTTAAAACCTTATAGAGTCCAGGAAAAACTCAGAAAAACGGAAAGAATTAAAAACATGCAGCTTCCCGTCTGCTAACCCAGGGCAACACACTGCTCCCTGGGAGGGCCCCTCAGGCAGTTTGACATGAAATGGCCCTTCTTAAAAGGGTTTCAAACCTTCCAAAGAGAACCTGGCTGCCCGGATAATACACCATTCAAAAGAGGCTGCAGATGGGACTGGGCCACCAAGCCACATCTGGGGGGCAAAACACTCCAACTGTCCTTGAGGGAAGAAAAACAGAACTGGACCAGACAGTCCCCACTTTCCATCAAGATTTCCCTGCAGGGCCCCTTAAATTCCCACTTATGTGCACCTACAGCCCATGCCAACTGGATTGGGATTCCCTGGGAGGTCCACCCAAAACGGAAGGTGGACCCCAGATCACATTCCTCATGCCCCAGCAGTTTTTCTAAAAGGCTGAATTTAATTAAGCCTGAAACGTATCATTTAAAACCAGAGGCACAG